GGCCGGCTTGGAAAATTTTCTTATTTTAAATCCTACTTTCCTTTTCTTCTTCTTTCCTTTTAAAATCCTCATCCTCATCCTCTTTTTCTTCTTCTGAGGATGAGGATGAAGAAGAAGAAGAAAAAAAATAGGAGAAAATAAGAAGAATTCCAAACTCTGCAAAAAGTGTTATCTGGCAAGCTCCCAAATGTATCAGCAAACCTCCGCTAAACATAATCGGCGTCTGCGCGATACAATATTTCCCTTGGAATTCTCACTTCGTCTCATCTTTCTTCTTCTTCTCATCCTCTCTTCTTCTCATCCCTTCTTTCATCTTCTCATCCTTGCCTCGCTTCTTCTCATCCTTCACCATCTACTCATCGCATTCTTCTTCTCAGCCTTCCTCCTTCTTCCCACCTTATTCTTCTTCTCAACCCGTTCTTCCTTCTTCTCCCTTCTCTCATCCTTATCCTTCTCCACCTTCTCTCATCCTCTGGGGGGAGAGGGGAGGGAGTGGGGGGTCTCCGTTCTTCTCATCCTTCCCTTCGTCTCATCCATCCCTCTTCTCACCTTCTTGCTTCTCCTTCTTCTCATCCTTTCTCCATTCTTCTCATCCTTCTGTCTCATCCTTCTCCTTCTTCTCATCCCTTCCTTCTCACCTTCTCCTTCTTCTCATCTTCCGTCCTTCTTCTGCGATCCTTCTTCTTCTCATCCTTCTCCTTCTTCTCACCTTCTATTGCTTCATCCTACTCCTTCTTCTCATCCTTCTGTCTCAAATACCTCTTCTGACAGTCTGTCACCTTCCCTCTCATACAGCGGTTCTGAAACATGGTATCTCCTTCTTTCATCCCTTCTCCTCTTCCATCCTGCTCCTTCTTCTCATCCTCTCCTTCGTCCTGTCTTACTCATCCTCTCCTTCTTCTCATCCTTCTCTCCTTCTTCTCATCCTTCTCCTCATCCTTCTACTTCTTCTCATACCTTCTACGTCATCCATCTCCTTCCCTTTCTTCTCTCCTTCATCGCCTTCCGCCTTCTTCTCCATCCTTCTCCTTCTCCTCGCCTGCGTCCTTCCCCGACCATCTCATACCCAATTCGCCTCCTTCTCCTTCATCTACATCGTCCTGCCCTCCTTCACCGCCCTCCTCTCTCTCTCATCTTTCTCCTTCTTCTCATCCTACTTTCTCATCCTTCTCCTTCTTCACATCCTTCCTTCTCCATCCGGCTCCTTCTTTTCATCCTTCTCCTTCTCCTTCTTCTCATCCTTCTCCTTCTACTTCTTCTCATCCTTCTCCTTCTTCTCACCTTCTCCTTCTCCTTCCTTCTCATCCTTCTCCTTCTTCTCATCCATTCCTCCTTCTCCTTCTTCTCATCCTTCTCCTCTCCTTCTTCTCATCCTTCTCCAATTCTCCTTCTTCTCATCCTTTCTTTCTCCTTCTTCTCATCCTTCTCCTTCTCCATCTTCTCATCTTCCTTCTCCTTCTTCTCATCCTTCTCCTTCTCCTTCTTCTCATCCTTCTCCTTCTCCTTTCTTCTCATCCTTCTCCTTCTTCTTCATCTTCTCCATCTTCTCATCCTTCTCCTTCTCCTTCTTCTCATCCTTCTCCTTCTTCTCATCCTTCTCCTTCTTTCATCCATCTTCTTCATTCCTCTCCTTCTCCTTCTTCTCATTCTTCTCCTTCTCCTTCAATCCTTCTCCTCATCTCCATCTTTCTCTCCTTCTTCTCTCTTCTCCCTTCTCCTTCTCCTTCTTCTCATCCTTCTCCTTCTTCTCATCCTTCTCCTTCTCCTCTTCTCATCCTACTTCTCATCCTTCTCCTTCTTCTCATCCTTCTTCTCATCCTTCTCCTTCTTCTCATCCTTCTCCTTCTCCTTCTTCTCATCCTTCTCCTTCTTCTCTCATCCTTCTCCTTCTTCTCATCCTTCTCTTCCTTCTTCTCCTTCTTCTCATCCTTCTCCTTCTTCTCATCCTTCTCCTTCTCCTTCTTCTCATCCTTCTCCTTCTCCTTCTTCTCATCCTTCTCCTTCTCCTTCTTCTCATCCTTCTCCTTCTTCTCATCCTTCTCCTTCTCATCCTTCTCCTTCTCCATCTTCTCATCCTTCTCCTTCTTCTCATCCTTCTCTTCTCCTTCTCTCTTCTCCTTCTCCTTCTTCTCATCCTTCTCCTTCTCCTTCTTCTCATCCTTCTCCTTCTCCTCATCCTTCTCCTTCTCCTTCTTCTCATCCTTCTCCTTCTCCTTCTTCTCATCCTTCTCCTTCTTCTCATCTTCTCATCCTTCTCCATCTTCTCATCCTTCTCCTTCTCCTTCTTCTCATCCTTCTCCTTCTCCTTCTTCTCATCCTTCTCCTTCTTCTCTCATCCTCTCCTTCTCCTTCTTCTCATCCTTCTCCTTCTCCTTCCTCTCATCCTTCTCCTTCTTCTCATCCTTCTCCTTCTTCTCATCCTTCTCCTTCTCCTTCTTCTCATCCTTCTCCTTCTCCTTCCTCATCTCCAAGGGCATTTAAATTAAAGGTACAGTGTTCTGCACTAATTTAAAGGCTCTCTGAAGCCTAGAAACCCTTTTAATAAGTTAAATTCGTAGTGAATTAATTCGCATCGAATCAAATTTTTTTCCTCAAATTCGGCGAATCAGCCGAATCGAATTTTTGAATAATTCGCTCATCTCTAGTAGTGATATCTGCTAGATGCACAGATGAACCTTCTTTGATGCTCAAAGAGAATTATGACACAAACAGAGCAGACATGTCCCCTAGAGACTTCCTGTGTAACAAAACTAGTTGGGCAGGACCATTGTGATGTAATTTTGTATATGCGTTTGGCCAAGCGGCGTGCTTTCATTTTTACATGCTGTTCCAATTATGATCTTTGTGAGTATCTTTTAATTAAATAAAGCATTTTTATAAAAGTTATTGCACTATAGCTTCTCTACTTTCCTCCATATCATCTGGGGCCTAACACTATTGTGATCAGTGGGAGCACTGGCATCGTCATCTGAAAAGAATTGAGTGCTTGATTAAACTGCCGCTACGATCTTTTTCTTGAGTGTTGTAGCATGATGACATCCTTCCCTATGGCTGCCTAGTGACCTTGTTGCAAAATGTTGTAAATAGTGCTTTATCCACAAGCACCATTTGATCTCAGCATTAGGAGGTCAAACTATCTGGTAAGGAGGTAGTGTTGGAGCACTGAAGTCTACACAGTTTGCACAGTGGAATATTAGCACTTGATTTTCATTCAATACATGGACTATGTTTTTTAGTGTCTTAGATAACAAGCTTACTGCATTTTTTTTCACTACTGTGTTTTTTATGTGTTTATTTTTTGTTATCACAAAGATATTGCTATTGTTCAAAATATGTGGACTTTATAATGGCTGCACTTTCTTTCTATTTGTTTTATTTATGTATTTATTTTTTTAATATATACAGTAAATATAGTACATTGTGTATTTAAAGTCAAATGAAATTTATATAAGGTGGACCAATTGGACATAATTACATTTTCACATATTTTTGCACTTTAACCTCTTGGCTGCACGCAAATGTGAGGCCTCCCAGCGTCTGGGCCTTGACGCCGAGCTGCCGTACATTTGCGTGCAATTAAGATGAAACATATGTGCTGAGAGCACGCGCCCTGTGCGTTCCCAGCACACATGTCTGGTACTCACGGAAAGGTCCCGATCTCCTCTTTTGATCGGGACCTTTCCCGATTATGTGACTGCCGTGGTGGCGTGTCACGGTGGTCACATGACCCTACACCCCGCCCCCACCTCCTGGCTTCTGAAACCCTTAAAGGGCTGGGAGGTTCCGGCGCCAAGGGGTTAATGTCTTTATGGTGGTTCAATCATTCACAATCTTTTTTGGCTGACTTTCAAAAAGACAGCACAACTATTTTCATCATGTCTGATAATTTGTCTGATTTGAGGAACAGGACTATGCAATTTACAACTGCTGCTGACAAAACATGCAATGGTAAAAAATAACGGTGCACATGCAAATCTACAAAGAAATATTATTGTCTTCTATCAAGTGTGTTTTCAGACGAGTCCCTGTAAAAGTTGAATAGTTTTACTGCCTTTAAAAAAGAAAGGCACATTACCTTTTCGGAGGCTAAGTCACCAAAAGATGACAAGCTATCAAACCTGCATAAAACTGCATCTTGTAACTCTACCTCTTTAAAACACTCTAATACAGTTTATATATTGCTAAGGACACATCAATCATTGCTGAGATCCTAATCATAGTAATCATCACTGAGTATTCAACTCGTGGCAATCTGGGCTCAAGCAGAAGAAGCAAAGCTGAGACTTATTGTACTGAAGGGGAAGCAGCCATTAACCTCCCTAGCGGTATGAATATGTCAGTATTTCTGTGCTCAAAGCGGTACATTTTTTTGCATGGAAATATGTTTTTTTTTTATTGTAGGCCTGTAATTTTTAGGAATAACTCACTGAAATCTGTCCGAACAAGAGTCTAGTGAACATCCCGGGTATGATAAAACTTGAAACACGAAATCATAAATTATAATTTAATAAATAATCATAAAAAAAATAATAATATAATAATAATAATAATAAAAATTTTAATTCAATAATATAATCAAACCAAAAACACTGAAATTTGAAATATAGCGCCAAGTTCGCACATCACTGAGCAAAGTCGCAAAATCGTTTTCAGTGTCTGATGACGAATTTCCCCACGAATCATTATCACTCAATTCTGCAAGTGGTTCTGATTTACTATTCGCTGTTCTCTAGCTGGTCTAAAACCGCTTTTGACATAAAGGGACGTTTTTTGGACGCCATAGACGTTTCTCAGTTTCCAGGCAGAAAGAACAGTAAAAATGCAGGCAGGGCACAGGACAAAGCACTAGGGACAAAATGTATGTGAAATGGTTTGATACAGGAATGTTTTACTATGTGATTTTAGTGAATTTAGTGAATGTCACTTTTTGTCATTTTCAAATTTCTCGCCGTTCCATCCCCCGTACGTCCCGACGCTCGCAGGGGACGGAACACAGATGACAGATGCCGACATCTGCCAGATTACATTGCCGGGGACACTGCAGGAGGGACAAGGTAAGTGTGATTGAGGGATCACAGAGCAGCGCCACATGGTAAGCCCAAGTGTAGCTTAGGGTTACCGCTTGTGGTACTGAAACTTTACCCTGAGCTACACTTGGGAATACCGCCAGGGAGGTTAAAGCACCAGCTGCTCAGACAGAAGACAGAAACACAATCTGCTCAAGAACATGCTCAGGCAGAAGTATAAGCTACCCATGCACGTGACCAAGCAGAAGCAGAAATTACCCAAGCAGAAGCACAAGTGACCAGAACATGTGCACAGGAGGAGGTGCAAACTGCCCAAGCATGAGCACAGACAGAGGCTAAAGTAGCCCAGGCAGGAACATAGTCAGATTCCCAGCATACTGTAGAGTCCTCCCTAAGAAAAAAAATCAAGTGATAGCTATAGCAAAGCACAGAGTTTTGAAACAAGCTGTGGAGGAAGAAGAGGAGGTCCATCTTAAAAAACCTCTGATGACACTGAAAGATGAACCTTGTGATTTGTCCAAAGCAAGAACAATGTCAAAATAACTATATAGGATGCTTTACATTCTATACACCAGTCATCAGTACATTCTCCAGCAGGATAAGCTGCAGCAGTCAACAACACAGGTCACCCTGGTTTATACCTCCCAAATTACTAATGCCTTATGCAGCAACTTATATGTCATTGCAGTCCCTCCTGAGCCCAAATCAACAAATGACCTCAAAACTTCCTGAGACCAGTCACATGGTTCTAAAGACCTAAAACAACATAAATCAAGTTGTCAAGCCTTCACCTGGACTGAACCCATCTGCTAACTCTGTTCTCTTCTGCAGCACCTAAATATCAAGTATCAAATACCAGCAACAGTGAAGGAGCACCAGTCTCAACAAGGCATGAAATAACTGATTAACCAAAGCTTGCAAGGTACATGACTTGCAAAGACCAAACAACACCATTATCATAAAGAGTTATGATTGCTCAGAGAACTAAGCAGCTGAAAGTCCATAGTTCAGCATTTCAATAGTTCACCCATGCAAGAACCTGATCTGCTAATCAAATGGTTAGGGTTTCAGCCACTGGAATATTAGTCTTAAACTGTTCAGATTCACAGCCAAACAAAGGCCTTAAAGTGGTTGTAACATTCTGACATGAAATATGAACAAAATATTCCCTCTGTAGTGTGTACTGTCTCAAGCCAGAGAACTAACTGGCATTTCTCTTTGCTGCCTCATTCCTCTGCTATCAGTATGAGTTATTTCTGACAGGTTTTCCTGACACCAAAAGAAAAAAGGTGACAGGGGAGGGTACAGCATTCTGCCTGTGATTGACAGCCTCAGCTTTGTACTTGTGTGCTGTGTAAAGGGAGGTGTGTCCCTTACCTCCAATCAGCTCTTACTAAGCTCTGTAGAGTGTACCTTCAGCTCCTCACCCCTGTTTTCGGAAAGCTCAAATAAGCTGTATAAATTATGTGATTTGAATGGTTGTAGAGAAGAGAATACTGCAGATAAACAGGTATAACTATGTGTATGCACGATGATCCAAGATGGCGGATGTGTGAAGGGTGACCTCTGCTGACCCTCAGCCTTTCAGGACCTCCCACTCCGCTCCTGCAGCAGCCACAGCTCCGGGAGAGCCCTCTCCCAAGTCAGGATAATCACAGGCATCTCCCTGGGAAAAATCGGGCATTAGAAGCCGCCCATGCTGCCTCCTCCAGATCCCTGGCCTTCCATGCTGGATCACTTCTTAACTAGGCCTGCATCCCCAGCCTTGAGTAGCTGCGGCGGTCCGAGTGAGTGCTCTGGAGGGTCCGCAGAGATGGAAGGGACAGACACAGAAACCCCTGCTGCTCTGCATCCCACCCCGGTGGTCCCCTCTTTGATGATGGATATCCTGGAGGACAAACTGCAAGTATTCTTGCCTAATATCACCGACCACATTGAGTCAAACTTCGACAAATTGGTGCAATGTGTCCATGTCCTAGAAGAGGATAATGCGAATCTGAAACACTCCATGTCTCAGTTACAGCTCCAGCAGGAAGACCTGGAAAACATGGAGCGCTGCCAGAATATTCACGTTCGTGGCATCTCTGAAACGGTCTCTGACTCCCAGCTTCAGCGTTACTTGCTGTCTCTGTTTACCACTCTGGCTCCCAAGGTCCTAGATGTTGATTAGAGAATGAACTGGGCCCAATAGGCATGAAACCTCCTGAGGGCACCAGGCCTAGAGATGTTATCATTTGTTTGCACTACTTTGACAGCAAAGAAGCCTTATTCTCTTCTACTTGTAACAAGTCCTCTCTGGAATATAAAGGAGACAGGCTTAAAATTTTCAGTGATTAATCTCCTATTACATTGGAAAAAAGACGTATCTTACCACTCATCTCCAGCAGCACTGTGCCGCTTACCAGTGGGATTTCCTTTCAAGCTAGTTGTCTCCAAAGATAATGCCCAAGTCATACTTCGTGACTCACACTCCTCAACATCCCCGACTTCCTGGTTCAGTGGACCCCACCCAGGGGCGGACTGACCATTTGGAAACTCAGGCACTGCCCGAGGGCCCGGGGTCAGTAGGGGGCCCCATGAAATGCCCCTGGTACCTTTTTCACAGGCTTTTTTGAGTTTGGGCAAGGACACAGGGGCCCCATGATCCCCTATTGCCCAGAGGCCCCATGAGTTATCAGTCCGCCCCTGACACCACCACCTGACTCTTTTACGCATCAGGTCTCCCGCCCTGGAAATTGAGCTCCTTTATTCCCATTTGTGGTTTAGCAATTCTCCTCATTGCTGTGTCCTGACTACAAATGCTACATGAATCACTGAGGTAGGCATCTGTCATGTTGGGTCAGCTGCCGTGTTGCCACCTGGTGTATCAGGCCTTTGGCACTGATGACTCGGGATAGCTCCAATATCCCAGGTACATATCTTTGATGATATCTTTGTTTCCAGTCGTAATTCCTACAGCCTCTGTTCTGAGTGATACATTTGTTTGTGATAGGTCCGTTGCCATGCTAATTACCTGGTTTTCTATTCCTGTTGTTTTCTGTTTTGCCTCATCAATGATTATTTTTTGTATACTCAGGTCACATAGGTGATACACTCATTACTGTTTCACGATGGCTTTAAGGTTGTTATCATATAATGTCAAAGGTCTTAATTCAGTTAAAAAATGGTTGATGGCTCTGAAGCTGTTCAGATCTTTGGGAGCAGATATATTTATTCAGGAAACCCATTTCAAACAAGATGGCTCTTTTCACTTTGGCTCTAAGAGCTTTCCACAATCCTATTCAGCTTTTGATCCCTCTGGGAAAGCCGGAGTAGCTATTTTGATTTGGAAAAACTGCTTCCTGCAGGTCTCCTCCTCTCGGGTTGACCCACTTGGTCGTTATGTTTTGCTGGAATGTATGTACGCGGGCTCTTCATTTGTGCTTTTGAACTTGTATGCACCCGACTCTGGTCAGATGCTATTTCTCTCTCAAACTTTAGATACATTGTGTTCCCTAGCTACTCCATACATGATTGTTGGGGGGGGGATTTTAACCTGGTTTTGTCCCTCCTAAGCATAGGAAGGTCCATTTTGCATCTACTCCGTGGAAGAGACTATGCTCCTCCTCGACGGCTTTCCGTAAACTGATCCAGGAGCATTGCCTCTTTGATGCCTGGCGGGTCAAACATCCACTCCATAGGGAATTCACATTTTATTCTACTCCACATCGCATGTTCTCTTGAATCATTTCTTTGTCACTGCCCCCCTGATCCCCTTTTTGGTCTCCTCTGAGATCAACCCGATGACTTGGTCAGATCACGCCTCACTGTCGCTTGATCTCCTTTTCCCTAACTCCCTTAGTGCCTGCCACTGGCACCTCAATGAGAGTTTTCTGCTCTCGGAACAACTTCGAGAGGAACTCTCTCGGGGCCTGGATGCTTATTTTAACATAACGTTGGCTTGGTAGCTTCATCCTCAACAATCTGGTAGGTTCACAAGGCTGTCTTCAGAGGCCTCTGAATTCCCATGGGCGCTCATTTAAAGAAGGCCTCTGTTTGTGCCAGACAATCTCTCTTACACCAACTGTCCTTAGCCAAATGACAATTGCTAGATAACCTGTCTATACCTTGGCTCCAGAAGGTTTCCTCTATACGGGATCAAATTAGGGCTCTTGACCTGCATAAAACTGCCGTCTCTCACTTGGGCCAGGCAAAAATTTTATGAGTTTTCTAATAAACCGTATTGTGTGCTCGTATATAGACTTAAATTTCAAGCATCCCCTTCACTACCGGGCCACCTACTCCAGTCTGATAGCAAACTCACATATGAGCCGCATGTTATTGCTACAGTATTTGGGGAATACTATCAGAAGCTTTATAATTGCCTAGCTCCTGATAAGCACCCTCACCTTCAGAGGACTGCTTTTGACACTTTTATTGACTCCTTACAACTACCATGCTTGTCACTTTCCGATGTTACATCTCAAAACGCAGACATCTTTATTGAAGAATTATTGGATGTTGTCAAACATCTCCCTACTCACAAATCTCCAGGGCCATCATTTTTATCCCCTTCCTTTCATATGTCCAATGGTACATGCCAGGGATGCCCGCTTTCCCCCTTGTTGTTTATCCTTTGTTTGGAACCCCTGGCTATAGCTATTAGATCCATTCCGGATATCCATGAGATACACACACCCACAATAGTGACTTTAAACTGTCTTTGTTCGCTGATGATATCTTGCTGATGCTGACGGGGCCCCATATTACTCTGCTGGTCATACAATGTACTTTACAGCTTGTCGGTGCCCTGTGAGATTATAAGGTTAACGTGTCTAAAACTGAAGCATTGCCACTCCACATACCATCTACAATTTTATCTTATCTTAAGTTAAATTATCCCAAGCGGTGGTGCCCCCACACCTTGAAGTATTTAGGTACCAATCTTGCTTCCTCATATCACTTCCTTTATGAAGCTAATTTCTTCCTGCTGTTTCATGCAATTGATCAGTCCTTGGGACAATCTTGCCATCTCCTTCCTTGGATGGATTAATGCGTTAAAAATGACCATACTACCTAAACTTCTGTATCTGTTTGAGACGCTTCCTATTCCTATCCCCATGTCCAAGTTGCACTTGCTTCAGAAATCCTTCCTCCTCTTCATCTGGCATA